TCAGCCAAGTGTAAATCATTATAGAGGATACTAGAGGCCCGCTGGCACCCGCCTTGGCTGGCCTGGAGCTTGTGGGCTGGGGGCAGCTCCTGCGTTAAGTGTCTGCCCCCTGGTGGTCAGGGTGCATCATAGCAACCAGTCATTCTGCCATTCAGTTGATTTGCATATTAGGCTTTTATTATATAGGACTAGAGGCCCGATGCATGAAATTCATGCAAGGGGCCCGGCCCTCGCAGCCCTGCCTGCCTCGGCCGGCCCTCACAGCCCTGGCTTCATCAGGAAGGTTGTCGGGAAGGACATCTGAAAGGTTGTTTGGCTGTCCAGTCTAATTAGCATATTACACTTTTATTATTACAGATGGTATGGGCAAATCTTTTTTCTTAAGTAATGAACATATTTGCTTATTGAGTTTGAAAAAAAAGCTATTATGTTTCCTTAAAAAGTTTTATAGAAAGTTAAAAGTGTGAAATCCATTTTAGCATGTTAAAAACATTTGAGGCCCTAGCTGGTTTGGCTCAGTGGATAGAGTGTCGACCTGTGGACTGAAGGGTCCCGGGTTCGATTCTGGTCAAGGGCACATGCCTGGGTTGTGGGCTTGGTCCCAGTAGGGGGCATGCAGGAGGCAGCTAATCAATGATTCTCTCTCATCATTGATGTTTCTATCTCTCTCTCCCTCTCCCTTCCTCTCTGAAATCAATAATATATATATATATATATATATATATATATAAAATTTTTAAAAATTGAAGAGGAGGAAAATGTATGAAATAAATGTTATGTACACTGTGACCTAGAATGTGAAAAAACAAACAAAAAACATTTGAGTTTTAAGAGTATCATAGCCCTAGCCCAGTGGTTCTCAACCTGTGGGTCGCGACCCCTTTGGCAGTCGAATGACCCTTTCACAGGGGTCGCCTAAGACCATCCTGCATATCAGATATTTACATTACGACTCATAACAGTAGCAACATTACAGTTATGAAGTAGCAATGAAAATAATTTTATGGTTGGGTCACAACATGAGGAACTGTATTTAAAGGGCCAGAAGGTTGAGAACCACTGCGCCGGTTTGGCTCAGTGGATAGAGTGTCGGCCTGCTGACTGAGGGTCCCAGATTCAATTCTGGTCAAGCGCACATGTGGGGGTTGCAGTCTTGATCCCCAGTAGGGGGTGAGCAGAAGGCAGCCGGTCAATGATTCTCTCTCATCATTGATGTTTCTCTCTCTCTCTCTCTCTCTCTCCTTTCCTCTCTGAAATCAATAAAAATATATTTTTAAAAAATAGTATCATAGCTATAAATATATCCAACTTCAAAATACTTGGATTTCTAGATTCTAAATATTTTAAATTGAAGTTAAAATGAAATCAAGTGATTTAAAATTAATGTGATTTTTTTCTGGTTATTTTTAGGTAAATAGGATGTGAGACTGGCAAATAATGCTTGCTAGGAGGACCCATTCTTGTGATTGAATTCCAAGTAGCATTTTTTAGTTGCATCTCATTCTTTAAAAAAAAAAAAAAAGAAATCCTATTGTGTTATAAATAAAGACACTGAAAACCTCAATTTTATTTTTGAATCTATTCTACAGACAGATTCTCTTTTTTTAAATATCTTTTCTACAGATAGATTCTCTAGAGCCAGCCAACAATCCAGGCCTAACACTTTAGCTAACAGCTTTATAGTTCAAAATTCAAAACGTAGGGTAGGAGGAAAGTGAGAGTGACTACAAACCAAATGAACACGGCTAATACATCTTGGGAAGCACTTTGTTACAATAAATAGGTGACTCACTGGGTATAGCACACCCTCCCAAACCATATTTACCACAGACCACCCAAACAATTATATTCAATATTAACTAAAAGGCCAAAGGATTGGATTTACATAGTGTTTTTTTTTAAATATATTTTATTGATTTTTTACAGAGAGGAAGGGAGAGAGATAGAGAGTTAGAAACATCGATGAGAGAGAAACATCGACCAGCTGCCTCCTGCACATCTCCCACTGGAGATGTGCCCGCAACCCAGGTACATGCCCTTGACCGGAATCGAACCTGGGACCTTTCAGTCCGCAGGCCGACGCTCTATCCACTGAGCCAAACCGGTTTCGGCACATAGTGTTTTTAAAACATACATTTCACTATAAAAATAATGTATTATCAAATAATTCATCTATATTCCTAAAGTGTCATATTTTCTATGATTCTTGTTAATCTGTTTGAACTAGAGAGGGGGGGAAAGTATTGAGATATGGTAGTTGGATCAGACCTATCAACTACTCAAATTGAACCCTGCTAACCCAAGGGGTTCATAGCTTAATTCTATACTGTCTATGCTTCTCATCAGGAAACTGAAAAGGGCTGACATCCTATATAATAAAAGGGCAATATGCAAATTGACCCTAACAGCAGAACAACAGGGAACAACCGGTCGCTGTGACACGCACTGGCCACCAGGGGGCAGATGCTCAACGCAGGAGCTGCCCTTGGTGGTCAATGCACTTCCACAGGGGGAGCTCCACTCAGCCACAAGCCAGGCTGACAGCTTCGAGCACAGCTGAGGGGTGGGAGCCTCTCCTGACTCTGCAGCATTCGGACATCCCCTAAGGGCTCCCTGGCAAGGGATGTCTGACTGCCAGCTTAGGCCTAATTCCCCTGGGAGCAGACCTAAGCTGGCAGGTGGACATCCCCCAAGGGCTCCCAGACTGTGAGAGGGTGGAGGCCAGGCTGAGGGACACCTCACCTCCTCCCCAAGTGCACGAATTTTTGTGCACCAGGCCTCTAGTAAAGTTATAAGGATATCTGACTATCTTACAAGACACTATACAGACTCTTTTAAAGTTTTAGCCGTGACAGGATTCCCAGGTAAAAATGGGCAGCAATTTCATATTTTACTTCTGGCTGCTTCCTCACTTTTGTTTTGTCAGGACTTCAGCCAAGCCCCTGTGGAAGGTAAGTTTATTTATGAAGCAAACCCCTTTCCTTCGCCTGGCCTCATTTTTTGGCTGTATAGCAGTGGTCTCAACCTTCCTAATGCCGCGACCCTTTAATTCAGTTCCTCATGTTGTGGTGACCCCCAACCATAAAATTATTTTCGTTGCTACTTCGTAACTGTACTGTTGCTACTGTTATGAATCGTAATGTAAATATCTGATATGCAGGATGTATTTTCATTGTTACAAATTGAACATAATTAAAGCATAGTGATTAATCACAAAAACAATATGTAATTATATATGTGTTTTCCGATGGTCTTAGGCGACCCCTGTGAAAGGGTCGTTCGACCCCGAAAGGGGTCGCGACCCACAGGTTGAGAACTGCTGCTGTATAGGGAGAAACCCCACAGTTTCAAATCTTTAGGCTCCTTTCCCCTTAACATTCATGCTACTTGGAAAGACAGTGAGGCAAACAAAGGTCTCACACTGTTACATTTTATTAAGTAACCATTTATTAAGCCACCTCTCTCCAGGATGGGCACAAGGTGTACGGTTATTTCCTCACATGAGTGTTTTAAAACCTGGGTGGGAGATGACATGCTACAAATTAAGCATTTTAAAAATTGTAAGGGGAATCTTCTTTTTAATCTCAAGAACAGCCTTTTCACGCTTCTTTATCACCTTTCCATTGGTTGTGTGCATATAAAGACCAACAAAGAGAACAGATTGGAGGGTGTTGTTGGCATAGGGAAGCTGGCGGCGGACTGTTAGAGGGCACCTTGTGTGACTGATTTGGGGAACCCATTTGACTTTATCTGATGGGTTGGAAGCAGCAGCAGAAGAGGGAAGCTGGCGGTCAGACCATCGCTGCCCATCGGGCGGATTCCTGCAGTGGCGGTGGTTTCACTTCCTGGCTGGGCGCTGCAGATGTGTCACCTGGCCTGGCCGCTGTCCTGGGTGTTCGGTCGGAGCTGGGCGTGGCCAGGCTTTTCTGCCCCCGACCTAGCTTTCCAGCCTCAATTTCTGTTTTGCCTGGAACAACCTAGCTTTCTTGTTATTTCTGTTAAGGGTTAGCGGGGACATTGAGATATGAAAAGTACTTCTGGGGACAAACACATAAAACCCTTCTGGTGAGGGTCAGGCCGAACCCCTTTCCCTGCACAACTTATTCCCAGGATAACTGGCTCCGCAGCTTCCCGGCGCCTTTCTCCGAGGCGCCCCCGGAAGACGCCGCCCGAGCCGTGGCCCGGGAGGCCCCTCTCAGAGCGCCTCCGGGCGCAGGAGGTGCAGGTCCTCCTCGGTCACCACCTCGGGGCCCCCTGGGGTGAAAGGAAGGGAAAGACACTCGCGGGCCTCGGCCCCCGCGGTGGGAAAGGCAGCCCTCCCTCCCCCTCGGGGAGCAGCCGCACCCCCTCTCCCAGCCCGGAGACCGCGGCCCGGAGGAGAGCACGGCCTAGCGTTCTCTTCTGGGTGTCGCTGCCACGCCGACCCCTGCCCGGGTGCCCGGAGGCTAGGAACCGATAGCCCCGGTAGTCGGTAGGCCCTGGACGAACGTGCAGGTGACCCCTGATCGATCTCCTATCTTGCGTGGAATGA